CCAGAGATATCTCCCTTACATCTTAGTAGCTCTCATTCTTTTTCTCTCTTACAAAGGGGGCACAAGTCTTCACAGGATATGTCTGTTAGTTGATATTACCTGTAGTTTCTACTTGCTTGATTTCTCCCCTGCTAACACCTTCTTACAGACATCCACGTGACACTGGATGATCCATGTGAATCTATTTACTATCTATTTGCCCTTAGTTGATTGGACCCAAAGTAGGCACCTGACCTTAGCTAAGCCAATCACATTTCCCCTAAGGTGAATTTAACATTGAGTCACAAATAAGTTAATTAAAAGAAGCTGTGCTGGAGAGGCATATACACACGGAAGTTGCCATGACTGTCCAACTCCACATAAAAGAAAGATGAGAAAAGCCAAGCTACAGAGAGAAAGAGAAAGAGAGGGGCAAGGGAGAGTGGGAGAGGAGAGAGAGACAGAGAGAGCTAAGAAGACAGATATGCTCTTGAAAAAGAAACAGAGAATGAAAAAATGAAGCAGAGTCCACTACCGTCCCATCCCCTCACACTCATGCCACTTCTTTGAGTTCCTCTAAATGTCTTAAAGTACTTAAATAAAGTTACTTAAGCTGATTTCAGAAGGGTTCTGTTTCTTTACCTACTTTATTCTTCTGGAATTAACCAGATAATATTGTACCTTATTTTGTGCATACATAATTTTAGAAGTCTGCAACCTTTCTATGTGTATTTTTAATACTTGACTAAAAATATTTGGTTCCAGCCTAAATACTTACGCAATTTTTGCAAAGAGACAGTTGCACAAGTTGCATAATTAAATTATTCAAAAGTTGAAGATTTAAAATAAACATCTTATCAAAATACTCATTATAATGGAAATAAGCTAGTACATTGTGGTTAAAAAGTAGAAAATAAAGTTTCACATTCCCCAGGGAGCCCAGGATGAAAACCAAAGACATTCTGTCTCCAAGTTCATTTCCAAAAAGTCAGTTGTTGAAAGCGTATTATCAGTAGCTTTAATGTGTTTTGCGACATAACATCTGTATATTCACAAGAACATATGTAATTTATAGATTATAAGGCACAATAATAAAATAGGCACTTGTGACATTTTGACTTTGCTAAAAACGGAAACCCAAATGTACTATGAAAGCAGTGTTTGTCAGTTATAATTGATTCAGTCCCCCAACCGATCCATCCCCATTTCCAGGGACATGTGGCAATGTCTAGATCAGTTTGGGTTGTCAGAACTGTTGGAGGGATGCGATTAGCACTCAGTGGGTAGAGACCAGGAGTGCTGCTAAGCACCCTATAGTGCATAGGAGTGATCTAGTCCGAGATCACTGCAGCAGAAATCTGTCTTAACTATCACAGTCTTGAGGATAAGGAACCCTGCATGAAGGGTGTTGGTGTTTCCACCTGAACCCCCATCTCTACTGCTTTCTTAGGATGTAACCACTATCTAAATTTAGTGTTCATTGTCTTGTTTCTAAAATATATTTTATCAAATGTGTATGTGTCCCTAATAACATTATAAAAAATGAGTTTATCACT